AAAAAAAAAAAAAAAAAAAAAAAAAAAGTGAATTTTAGATAAATAGAAAATTAATTTTGTATTGTTTTTATATCAAGACAGTACTATATTATGAAAATAAATATGTACCCATCCTATTTGGTTTTTCTCACTTTGGTTACATTTCAAAATGTGGCTCAAACTTGAGAAAAAACAATGCAGAGAAAATAGAGGCATGTAGGAGAGGCTTTCTGATTAGGTATGACTTGAAAAAATATGCTAAAATGCAGGATAAGGATAAAAATACACTGAGGAATGGGAGGGAGTGTGGCCAAATCGAGGGCTCAGATTCGTGACTAGAAGGGCCAGCTTCAGCTCACAGACGTGTGCTGTTGGCCAGCTTGGTGGCGCGCCATGGTTAGCATTGCTGCTGTTTGACTTTGACTTAGAAAACTTTTCTTCTGAGCATGCGCGCCCAGCTTGGCCTGGTCCCCACTCTCTATTGTGCAACACTGTGGTTTATTTGATAGTTTATATTACATTACACCTCCTGAAGGTGTCAGAGTTTGCGAGTCTTGTTTTAGGGAGGAAGACCAAGTGACAGATTCCGCGAGCCTGGGAAGGTGGCTTGGGTTTTTCCATAAACTCTTTGTGGGGCCTTGGCTAAGTCACATTCCTCTGAAGCCTCTATTTCCTTCTTTAACAAGAAGGGGTGAATTAAATATCTCTTGCGCCTGCCAGCTCTGAAATTGTAAATCCTAGGTGGAGTTTATAAGAAAATCCTGTTCCCATATTACAAAATCCATGGATTGGCCAGCAGTGGCTCACGCCTATGGTCCTAGCACTTTGGGAAGCCAAGGCAGGCAGATCACTTGAGGCCAGGAGTTCAAGACCAGCCTGGCCTACATGGTGAAGCCCTGTGTCTAGTAAAAATACAAAAATTAGTCGGGCATGGTGGTGCATGCCTGTAATCCCAGCTACTCAGGAGGCTGAGGCAGGAGAATTGGTTGAACCTGGGAAGTGGAAGTTGTACTCAGATGGCGCCACTGCACTTCAGCCTGGGTGACAGAGTGAGACTCCATCTCAAAAAAACAAAAACAAAACACAGCAACAAATCCATGGATGGGAGTAGAGGATACATAATAGTTTGTGGAGCTCTGGCTCATATCAGTGCTTTTTTTTTTTTGGAGATGGAGTCTTGCTTTATTGGCCAGGCTCGAATGCAGTGGCTATTCACAGGCGTGATCATAGTGCATTAAAACTTCAAACTCCTGGCCTCAAGCCATCCCCCTAGTAGCTGGGACTATAGGCACACACCACCACATTCAGCTACTGCTATAGATCTTTCGCAAGTTTGGTATTTAGGGCCTCAAACACTTTCCCCCATCCCAGATCTAAGCTTCATGATAGCAGTCATGTGCTCTATCACATTACCTGCGGTGTCTCTGGTCCCTAGAAAAGTGCCTGGCATAGAGTCAGTTTGCAAAGAAATCTTGGTTGATCAAGTGGATTGAATGATTGAATCAAGGAGTGAGTGGTATAGCTATTGATTAGGCACCCTGGCCAGCCCACACAAGGGACTTCAGTCATCACGTCCCTGAGTTATGATTCCAGTGACAATGTTTTCCAAACTGTGAATCAGGACACATAGTCTGAGAATTTTTGCATTGCTTGGGGTATAAGAGTCAGTTTGAGATATGTAGTTTGAATCTTGAAATATTGCGATTTCTGGCACATGCTTTTAATGTAAGAGAATATTTTAAATCACATGAGCGAGGCAGGTAGGTCATTCGGGGCATGCAGGGAATGGTGAGGACGGTCGCAGGCAATCACGGTGGAGTGTCATCCTGTAGAAATATGGGCCTAGTGGCGCCAGGCTTTCCAGGTTTAAGAGAAGCTAGATATCTACCTGGGCTGGCTGGCTGGCTTTCTTTCTTTCTTTCTTTCTTTCTTTCTTTCTTTCTTTCTTTTTTTCTTCTTTCTTTTTCTTTCTTTCTCTTTCTTTCTTCTTTCCTTCCTTCTTTTTTTCTCTCTCCTTTTCTCTCTCTCTCTTTCTCTCTCTCTTTCTTTCTCTCTCTCTTTCTTTCTTTCTTTCTTTCTTTCTTTCTTTCTTTTTTTTTTTTTTTTGAGACAGCGTTTCACTCTTGTTGCCCAGGCTGGAGTGCAATGGCACGGTCTCAGCTCACTGCAGCTTCTACTTCCCGGGTCCAAGTGATTCTCCTGCCTCAGCCTCCTAAGTAGCTGGAATTATAGGTGCCCATCACCACGGCCAGCTAATGTTTGTATTTTTAGTAGAGACAGCGTTTCACCATGTTGGCCAGGCTGGTCTAGAACCCCTGACCTCAGGTGACCTGCCCATGCTGGGATTACAGACATGAGCCACTGCGCCCAGCCTGGGTTTCTTTATGTTTGATTTCTCCGAATTTTTTTTTATGTTGGCAACTAATTTACAGTTTGTTTGTTTGTTTGTTTTTCAGGCAGGGTCTTGTTCTGTCACCCAGGCTGAAGTACAGTGGCGTAATTGTAGTTCACTACAGCCTCGGCCTCCTGAGCTCAAGCTGTCCTACTGCCTCAGCCTCCTAGGTAGCTGAGATTGCAGGGACAAGCCACTGTGCCTGGGACCCCATTGTAGAAATGGAGTCTCACAATGTTGCCCAAAATTGTCTTGAACTCCTGAGCTCAAGCAATCCTTCCGTGTAGGCCTCCCAAAGCATTGGGATTACAGGCATGAGCCACCATGCCCAGCCTAATTCACAATTTCCTGTGGACCAAACAAGATACCTGCTGGCCAGATGAGGCCTTTAGACTACCAGCTTACAACTTCTGATGTAGATAATGAAAGCTTTGTCCATTCCTGGTAAGACAGGAGGAAAAGGTCTTTCTCCTTGACAATGGCTCTTGACCTAGCCCGTCTGTTACCCAGAAACATCAAAGGCCCCCGGGATGATCAGCTGGACAGCTCAGACCAAAAGACAACTGGCTTATAGCATTAGGAAGGGCCCCGGGCAGGTAGGTCAGACAGCACAGGGCCAGCAGAGCAGGAATAATTTGGCAATGAGCATGAACGATGCGAAATGGTGCTGAACAAGCACTAAATGCCCATGAATTGCAGGTCCAGAAGTAAGAGATGTGGTGATCCCATCCCTCAGTAGGGTGTTCCTGCAAACGAAGGCACCGGATGAATTGAACTTAATGAAGCCTATTTTTCAGCCTTAATGAAAATAAAGAATAACTTCTGAATCAATATTAGAATAAATAGCTTTAATATCTTGCATTTATAGCCTACTTAGAATTTCTGAGATATGATGTGAAACCATTTTTACATTATTTTGTATCATTTTTTCTAACACCTGATATGTGGGTGCATTCTCATTTAAAAAGATTCAAACGATTCAGAAGTAAATTGAGTATAATGTGAAAAGCTGTCTATATCTACCCAGCCAAACCATCTTCAGCTATTACTTTTATTGAGCAAGTATACTTTATTTATTTAGCCGTCCATTCATTCATTTACTGATTTGTTATTTTCATTTCAGCTTATTTCTGCTTTTATCTTAATTCCTCTCTTAAACTTTTTGGTTTAATTTATCACATTAGTTCTCCCTGATCTCCACCACTCTAACCTGACTTAAGTTAAATGTTTTATTTATTTTTTCTTTTCTTTCTCTTTCTCTCTTTTTTTTAAGGTAGAGATGAGGTCTTACCATGTCGCCCAGGCTGGTCTCAAACTCCTAGGCTCAAGTAATCCTCCTTGGCCTCCCAGAGTGCTAGGATTACAGGTGTGAGCCACTGCACCTAGCCCATTTAATTTTCATACTGTTTTCTAATAAATCAAGTAAGCTATACGTTTAGGCTATAAATTTTCCTCTGAATATTGCTTTCCATTTATTTCACAAAGTTTACCATGTAGTACTATGTAATACTTTCACTGTCATTTATTTATTTGTTTAGAAACGAAGTCTCTTTTGATCTTATTTTATTTTATTTATTTTTTAAAGACGGGGTTTCACCATGTTGGTCAGGCTGGTCTTGAACTCCTGACCTCAGGTGATCCGCCCGCCTCCGCCTCCCAGAGTGTTAGGATTACGGGCGTGAGCCACCGCGCCCAGCCTGATCTTATTTTTTTTGTTTTTCATTTTGTTTAGAAACGAAGTCTCACTCTGTCACCCAGCCTGGAATGCAACGTAACAGAGTCTCACTTGGCTCACTGCGACCTCTGCCTCCTGTGTTCAAGTGGTGCTTGTGCCTCAGCCTCCCGAGTAGCTGGGATTACAGGGATGTGCCACGCCTGGCTAATTTTTTTTTTTTTTTTTTTTTTTTGTATTTTTAGTAGAGACGGTGTTCCACCATCTTGGCCAGGCTAGTCTTGAACTCCTGATTCAGGTAATCCACCTGCCTTGGCCTCCTAAAGTGCTGGGATTACAGGCGTGAGCCACGATGCCCAGCCATTTATTTTTAATTGGCTTATTACTCTAGGGTTTTTTTCTCTCTCTCTCCTATGTACTTGTTTCTTTATTTAAGACAGGGTCCTGCTCTGTCACCCAGACTGAAGCGTAAGGCATGAACACAGATCACTGCAGCCTCAGCCTTCTGGGGTCAAGTGATTCTCCTGCCTCAGCCTCACAAGCAGCTGGGTCTACAGGCATGCGCCACCATGCCTGGCTAATCTTTTAATTTTTTCGTAGAGACAGGGACTTGCTGTGTTGCTCAGATTGGTCTTGAGCTCCTGGCCTGAAGCAATCCCCTCCCACCTCGCCCTCCCAAGGTGCTGGGATTACAGGCTCGAGCCACCATGCCCAGCCTTCTTTATTTAGGAGAGCTTTTCTAAACATTTTAAGCAAATGGTTTTTTGTTTACCTAGTTTTGTTTTTTGCTATAGTTTTGTGTTAGTTTCTAATTTGGCCACATTATGATTAAAAATGGCCTAAAAATAACAATGGTTTAATTTTGGAGTTTTGAAAGTTTCTAAGGCTTTTTGTTTGTGGCCTACCAGATGATTTTTATGAATGTTCTTTGATATTTCAAAAGAATAATCATTCTCTTTTTGGTACAAAGTTCTCAATGTATCTGTTAAATCACACATGGTTAATTGTAATACTTAACTCGGTGATTCTTAAAGTATATTAGAATCACCTGGGCTGCTTATTAAAGCTGTGAATTCTCACACCACACCCATAGATATAGATTTGGATCTGGAGGACGCATAAAGTGCTAAGAGCCTGCATTTTTAATAAGCTTCTCTGGAAACTTCTTATGCTCATTAGCAAACCACTGCTGTCATTTTCTACTTACTTTTTGTCTGTTGTATCTGGTTGATTTCTGTGAACTTGTCAATTTCCCCTGCATTTGTTTTTGCTTTATATATTGCAAATATCTGTTATATAGAGAGTCAAAATGTTTTCTTTCTTTCTGTTTTTTTGACAGGGTCTCACTCTGTTACATTCAGGTTGGAGTACAGTGGGGCAATCGCAATCCATCTCCGCTCACTGCAACCTCTGCCTCTCAGGTTCAAGCGATTCTCCTGCCTCAGCCTCCCAAGTAGCTGGGATTACACACCCAGCTAATTTTTTGTATTTTTAGTAGAGATGGGGTTTCACCACGTTGGCCAGGCTGGCCTTGAACTCCTGACCTCAAATGATCTACCCTCCTCGGCCTCCCAAAGTGCTGGGATTATAGTCGTGAACCACCGCACCCAGCCTGCTTCCCCCTTTATTTGGCACTCATTTCTCTCTCCTGCCACCCTGTGAAGAGGTGCTTTCCACCATGATTGGAAGTTGCCTGCAGTCTCCCCAGCCACAGGAAATTGGGAGTCAATTAAACTTCTTTATGAATCACCCAGTCTTGGCCGGGCACGGTGGCTGATGCCTGTAATCCCAGCCCTTTAGAAGGCTGAGGCAGGTGGATCACCTGAGGTCAGGAGTTTGAGACCAGTCTGGACAACATGGTGAAACCCATCTCTACTAAAAAAATTAATAAAAATAAATAAATAAATAACCCAGCCTCAGGTATTTCTTCATAGGAGTGTGAGAACAGACTGATACACCATGTATGTGGGGTTTTTTGTTTTGCTTTGTTTTGAGACTGAGTCTCACTCTGTTGCCCAGGCTGGAGTGCAGTGGCAAGATCTCGCCTCACTGCAACCTCTGCTTGCTGGGTCAAGCAATTCTCCTGCCTCAGCCTCCCGAGTAGCTGGGACTACAGGCATGTACTACCACACCTGGCTAATTTTTGTATTTTTAGCAGAGGCAGGGTTCCACCATGTTGGCCAGGCTGGTCTCGAACTCCTGGCCTCAGGTGAACTACCAGCCTTGGCCTTCCAAAGTTCTGGGATTACAGGGGTGAGATCACCATGCCTGGCCCATCATGTATGTTTTGATCTGCAGTTTAGATCAAGAACTGCAGTTTCCTTTAGTTCTTTATGGATGTCATCTCTCCTGTCTATTTATTGGGAATTCCTGAAATTTTCTAGTCAGCCAGTGGCATTCCTTGATATTTGGTCTCTATCCTGCTGTCCCTATCCAATCTCCTATCTACTGATGCTCCGCCAGGGTGATGCTGAGGGGTTTGGCCGGCAGCCCCCAAGCCAGGAAAGCATTCCACAGTCTCCCAGGCCCATCTACTTTCTGAGTTCGTTTTCTGTTCTGTCACTGTGTTCCCCAAGACAGAGATTGTTTTGGTTTTTCTCCAGTGATGCACTTTACAGACTGAACTCCAGGATACTGTATACATTTAGCTTTGAATGAAAATTCATGAAAGAAAATCAAAGGTTGAATAGGGGCAGTAAGAAGGTATCAGAAAACTATGAATATTGCCCAGGTATTTAAAACACATGTATAATTCAAATTTTCCTAACCTTAGTTCTATCAGAATTGATATAGGGGAATGAGAATTTTTTTTTTGTTTTGCTTTTTTTTAGACAGAGTCTCACTCTGTCACCCAGGCTGGAGTGCAGTATGCGATCTTGGCTCACTGCAACCTCCGCCTCCCAGGTTCAAGTGATTCTTCCGCCTCAGCCTCCTGAGTAGCTGGAATTATAGACATCCACCATCACACCCAGCTAATTTTTGTATTTTTAGTAGAGATGGGGTTTCACCATGTTGGCCAGGCTGGTCTCGAACTCCTGACCTCAAGTGATCTGCTTGCCTCGGCCTCCCAGAGTGCTGGGATTACAGGCGTGTGCCACTGCGCCTGGCCAGCTGGGAATCGATTTTCAAAATATGCAGAGTTAGGCCAGGCACGGTGTTTCATGCCTGTAATCCTAGTACTTTGGGAAGCCGAGATGGGAAGATCACTTGAGGCCTGGAGCTCAAGGCAACATAACGAGACCCTGTCTCAACAAAAAACTTACCAAATTAGCCAAGTGCGGTGGCATACACCTGTAGTCCCAGCTAGTCAGGAGGCTGAGGTGGGAGGATCACTTGAGGCCAGGAGTTAGTGAGCTGTGATTGTGCCATTGGACTCCAACCTGGGAAACAAAGCAAGACCCTGTGTCTTAAAAAACAAACAAAAAACTCAGAGTTGACCCTAAACTTAGGGCACAAGGCACTTTATTCTGGGCTTGGACTGGCAAGCCCTAAATTTGGGTTTTTGGCACTCATTACTCTGATAATCTGTTATCGATTACATAAGAGTTGCCAGATTGTAGATTTCATAAGCCTGTCTTCATCACTCCATCCCTAGCACTTAGCAGTCAGACCTGCTTATGGGGGACACATATATTCAACAAAAAATATTCATTGCCATGTGTGGTGGCTCACGTCTGTAATTTCAGTACCTTTGGAGGCCGAGGCAGGAGGATTGCTTGAGCCCAGCAATTTGAGACTAGCCTAGGCAACATGGCAAGACCCCATCTCTACAAAAAAATACAAAAATTAGTGGAGCATGATGGTGCACACCTGTGGTCCCAGCTACTCAAGAAGTGGGGGAATGTCTTGAACCCAGGAGGTCGAGGTTGCAGTGAGCCACGATCGTGCCACTGCACTCCAGCCTGGGTGACAGAATGGACACCC